GATATATCTAGCGACGTCCAGTTTTGCGATCATCTGGAGGAAAAAGCTAAGTTAGCTTTGAAAAAGTTGGGGGTGCTCAATAGGGTGAGACGGTATTTCACGCCGGAACACCGCCTGAAGCTGTATAATGCTCAAGTCAGGCTGCATATGGAATACTGTTCTCATTGAAACTACCAACTCCTTCCGTTAGACATAGAGATGTTGGCGCCTGACCCATCTGCGTAGAGATGTTGCATCTCTGTGCATCTTCTATCGAATTTATCATGGGGAGTGCTCTAAGGAATTGTTCGGATTGATACCTGCTGCTAATTTTCACCACCGTACAATCCGCCATAAATTAAAATTTCATCCCAACCATTTGGACGAGTGGCAGTCCTCCACCGTGCGTTTTTCAAGGCACTTTCTTCCACGCATAACCACTCTTTGGAATCAACTTCCAGCAGCAGTATTTCCGAACCGATACGACAACATAACCTTCAAGAAAAGAGCATATTCCTTTTTAAAAGGCCGACAGCGCACCTGCAATGCCGTTAGTGTTGTGGGTGATCATGGGCGGCGGTAGTCACTTACCACCAGGTGAGCCAGAGAAAAAATATGCCCATATATCGATATGAAATTTAAAGTAATAACATTATGACCAAAAATGATGGCAGAAAACCTCGATGAAAATGGATAAATATACATTCTACATATTACTTGTATATCTACTTTCGTAAAATCTTTTTTTTTCTGATATTTAATGCTTGTAAATTCGTAATTATTCGGGTCCTTTAGCCAAGTGTTAGGGTATTTCAGAAAACATAAGTAGATTATTAGGTAGACTAAGGGTGAATTATTACGCATGTAAGTAATAATTTTTAAATATATATTATAAATATAGCGAATCTGCCTAGATAGTATAACCTTTAACCTGGGTACGAGGTTTTTAATTTAGATACAGGGTTTACTACCTTATTAGTTGCATACCTACTAATTTGAAGAAGCGGTTCTTTTTGTTACGAAAAATCTTGCATGTCTTATACACATTTCTAAATGATCAAGCCGCTAAGCTCTCTTTTAAAATAGTCATCAGTAGATGTTTAATACACGATTTCATATTTTAAATCTAAATCTAATGTGTCTACAGCATGCGTTCATCGGTAGGTTTTATTTGTTTTAAGATTACTCACTTAGCCAATATTAATTTTGTCACGACCAAAGCCGCTATTTTTTATGGACTAAGATTTATCTATTCTTATAAAAAATTTTTCTGATTGCCTATCAATATACAAAATTACTAAGCCTAGCAAGCTGAAATTTGGAACATCGATTTATTTTATAATATAAGCATCTCCCAATAAAGGAACTTTGAAAATTTCAACTTAAAGGAGAAACACGACACCATGCGTTTAAAGCCACGGGCAACAGCTAGTTTGTCATGAAGTAGACAGCTTATTTATGCTTAAAAGAATCATAATTGGTTAGAAAAATCTGATGTTTATTCTAATCATGTTGTAATAGCCAAGTTATTCTCTATTTGATATTCCGTTTTTGATGCAAATGTATTTTAGATGCATATTCTCACATTAAGTTGATGACATTTATGAGCGCATTAACTGCGTTTATTGCTTAATCGCAAATACCAACGGTTTGTGCTGATCCGGTTTTTCTTTTCCAGGTTCGTATAAGTATGCTTACGTAAAATTTTAACTTTATCTATAATTTGATTTAATAGAATTCTAAAAGTTCTGTGTTAACTTAGCATATTGGAATTTGTTTTAAAATTTTTCGTCTAAGTTATTTTTTTATAATACTGAGATAACAAACAAGTATACGGCCCACCTCATGATAAGCGCTTGATTGGCCCGATCATGATAAGGGGCGTTAGGTGTGTTGTTTATCCTCTATAAAGTAACCTCTTTAGCCTGTTTTTGACAAACTCTATGCTATTATTTAAGGAATCCAATTTTTTTAAAGTTACCAAATATGTACACAAAATTTTTTTTTAATAACTACGTTGTATCGCGGCTACGTGTGACCAGAATATATTGATTAATTAGGATAAAAAGTATTGTACATCATATTGTTCTCCATTCCATTATGATATTGAGCCGTTATGCCTCAAAGAGGTAATAAAAAAATTCACTTTCATTTATAATAAACACCTAAAGATGTGTATGATAAAAAAATCTTTTAAACATTCATGATATTGCAAATCAAGCTTTTGCTAATTTCATGGACAATTTAATTTGAAATTACAAAAATCCCCATTTTAATACAAAAACGTGTAAGTACAGTGTTTATCCTTCCTGATATCAATAATGTATGCGTATTTTGAGAACATTTTGCAAGTACTGTTGTGTTGTGTAGTACCATGCAATCATAAAGGGTACGGCGAGTACACTTTCGATCTCGTATTGAAATGTATACGAAAGACGGTAATTTTCCGCTGGGTGATGATATTAATAGCAGCAAGAATCGCGGGTAGAACAGTGTTTTTTGCATAAAACGGTTTCACATTCGGACGAACTCAATATTGTGAGCTCCCTGCGCATCACTTTGCATGTTTAAATGGTCACTACACAGGTGCACAAAGCTCTCTATACTTATTCGTATTTGTTGATAATATAAAACCACTACGGTACACAATAATAATGACATTAAAATATATATTACTTTGAAACAATATTTATTTAAAACGATCTCTTCATAAATATATTTCTTTATTTGAATCTCCAACTAGAATTACATCTATACTAGTTTTAGTAACTGTGTAGTGCGCCTATTTGAATACTAAGTAGCGATAAATTAATAAACGTTCTAGAGAAGCAAAATTTAGTTAAGATTGTGCTGAGGTTTATAAGCTAATTAAATAATCTATGTTACCACTTCATATCGTAAAATGTTAACAAACAGTCAAAAATGAAGTTATAAAGCTTAAAAACTGTCGGTCAATAAATAAAAGAGAGGGCCATGCGCCGGAGTCAACGCCAGTCAATACATTCTAATCAGTGATTTATTGCCACTAATCCTCAGCTCAGCACAAATAAGCTATCTTGTCGACTTAATGTTGTATCAGCTCAGGCGTGAAACTCCCGCGCACCACTAAGTGGTCCTTCCAGTTTCCACTTGAAATATTTTAATAAGCCTTCACTGCTCACGCACCCAAATAAAAACACACACACGCACTCGCCAACACGAATACTCTCTTATAAACTTTGACTCGTTCGACTCCAATTTATTTATAATAGTAGCGACACTAAGAATCTACATTTTTGCTCTAAACGGTGTTAATTTATTGACCGTGGGCAGATAATATCACTTTTTTCTTCCCATTATTAAAGCGATTACACAAGAATTATAAGTCGAAATCCAGTCCCGGCTGTTCGATCAAATTGATATTGACACGCTGTTATGTATCTTATGTAAAATATAATAAGGCACTAATTTGTTTGTGTTACTTTTACGACTTGATAATACTTTCCTTGACGAAATCGCCTTATTGACTCGCTAATAAAAAGTGTAAAGTATGGACAAGTTATGCCACTTGCATTAATTTCGATGCTTAACCTGATAAACAAATTATAGTATATTAAGTTAATAGCTTAATTTATATTTGAATGTATCACGACGAATTTAATGAACTCATTGTTACGATCGCGATTTAGCATATCTGGTTGGTGTTAAAGACAAATTGGCTACGACGTATGCATATTATACTTCTAAAGTTTTATTAAGTAACTTATATGTAACATAAATAAGGTATTTATACGTGCTTGTAAAATTATCAGGTTATCTAACGAGTTAAGTTTTCAATCGACTTCGAAAAAAAGGAGGCCATCAAATCAATTTTGAATTTTTATTACACTAAATGCACGTTATCTTTCCTTATTATGTACCAATTTCAATTTTTTTTTCAATAGATAGCATTTATTGCTGTATTATTTCCATTATAATTTTATTCCAATTGAAGTCGATATTTTCTTAGAAAGAAATCTTAAATAAAATTGTCCATGCGCCTTTAAAAACTTGTTTTACAATCGATATGTTTTCGTACTGATATTATAACATAAAATTTATTCTAGTACTCACTACTTAGATATTATATTATACAATGTAAAATAAACAGAATAAATAATAAAAAAAGTATATAGGTGGATATTGCCATTACCGATTGTAGAAAAGTGATGTAAAACTACTGCTTTGTGAATAGGTATCAGTGAATAATTCTCATATTAACATGGAGAGGTATTACATTATATTGTATTACTGAGCCTTGTACCTTTGACGCACTGTAATGACATATGCGTGTAATGAGTGAGCACCGATTGAACATTCCATAATAAGAGGGAATCATACAGAATGTTTCGCTTGCGGCATTCCATTATGGAAACAGAGTAAAAAGTTAAAGCTATTTCCAACGAGGTTAGTCGCGTCAAAGTAATTTGTTTGTCTTCTGATGGCTTTATTTAGTTTTATCCCTAAACATTAATGAGAGAACAATTTTGTCATATATGTAAATATATCTAAAATGATGTGAACTTGTTAATATAAGTTTGTCTTATTTAGGAGTATGACTGGAGAGGAATTAGTTGTATACTCGTAGATCTCTTTAATTAATAGTATGACTTGAACATTGCCTAACGATGCAAGAATAATATTTAATATATAATAACAAGACTGTGTAATAAGATAAGTGTTTATATTATACACTAGACTGACTAGATACTGTAATATATTTTTACTATCAAATACTCATCAGATAAATTAATTAAAATAGAAACAAAAAACTACGATTCATATTTTCTTATATAAAAGATATACTTAAAATTTTTCAATATTCCCAAATAAAAAAAAATAATAAATATTTAGTTATCATATTACGAGACATGAGTCGATAAAAATATGTATATTTCTATAAAATTTATTAAGTATATTTAAACATTTTTGACTATCAGTAAATATTAACGTCATTAGAATAATTATAATAGATTTTTGTAATTATTTTACAATGTTTACAGTGCCGGTTTCTCCATCATCGTCGGGGGGCGGTGGCGCGGGCGCGGGTAGCGGTACTCCACTATACCCGGGTGCGACGTCGCATCCCTTATCATCTCTGTTGTCTCAGCAGAGGTTGCTGGAACTTTCAAGATTCGGACTGCGACACTATGATATCGCTCATCATGTGTTGTCGCAGCAAGGCGCTGTTACCAAACTGCTCGGTAAGTATATTTTCCTTGCTCTATTACATAATTCATTTTGGATAGGAATATATACCATATTCTTCATTAATTGTAGTTATAGTATAAATAAAAAAGTTAGTAAATGATTCTATATAAATGATCTATATAAATATAAATTATTTTAGGTTTATTTAAAAAAACTTTGGAAAATTTATAAAAATATAGGTAAAACTGAAGTTTTGAAATTTAATTCATGTATAAATTACGAGGCCTACGTGCAGTAGTGGACAGATAATGGCTGTATGATGATGATGATAAAGTACAGTGTTATTTATTAATTATTTTTTAATAATAAGTAACAGGAAATTTGCATAAGGCGAAAGGAATATGTTATTCTTGACTCTGGTTAATATGGTCTGGTTTTATGGACGATGGGCAAGTATAACTTTTTTATAAAGTTTTACTTAGGATTGTGTATAAAACGAACTTTAATCTAATTGATATTCGTTCCACAATAATTACAGCATGTATTATTAAAAGAGAACTCGCTTAGCGGGTAGTCTTCGATGTTGTATTGATTTGTACAACAGTTATAAGTAGGTACTGCTCTGAGCTTCATTAGTATGTACATACTGCCAACTAAGTTATTTGCGATGATTAAGTACATTATTGTCCGTTTTGAATGTTCAAGTTGGTCTACTGTATATGTAAGTATCTTATGTAGATGACTTAAAAAGGTGATTTCTCAGTTACTAGTGACGAATTATTTTAATAAATTAGTAGGTATATATGAGTCACTAAAATAATTTAGCTATTAAAAATTAACTTTTCAACAGCTTAAAAACGTTTTCCTTTCTTAGAGCGGCGTTGATGACAGCATACTGGCCAGCGAAAGAATAAATTAAAAGAGATAAATAGAGATTCTGAGCACTCAGACTTGTTTCTCGCAAAAAGTAGATACCGCCCGATTATCAGACGAATAAATTATATCAAAGCATTCATTGACAACTCGGCAATTTGTCGAAAGCGACGTGGCCACAGTCGATACTTAACTCGGCGCTAATAACACGGTTAGGGCAAAAATCTCAATCGTTATTAATCAATGATAAGGCATCGGCGGAGCGCACCGCGACGAAAGCTGCTATTGACGAAAGCTTAGATCCTAATCGATTCATAAAACTTGCAGCGTGTTAATTATAAGCCACTGTAATGCGGATGGACGCGCCGCCGCGAGCATGCCATAACAACAAAACGTTCTCCCAGAGAGATCCTGATGAGAAATCATATCACCGGTGATTCTTCATAACCACAACCCTTTAATTTACTGTTTCCTTTACAATTAATGTTACGTTAATTTTTCAAATAAGAATTCGATAAATACAAAAGGGCATGAATATCAATTGTGAGACTATTAATTTGCATGTGCGTTCACGAGAACAAACAGTATAGTGAAGAACAATTAGTATGTAATAATATCACGTTGGTTTTAACCGAAGCGTGAGTTCTCTGCGACATTGATGTGGACACTCGCCCGGAGGTATTCAGTTGATTTGAAGCATTACTGAGTCGGTGTGTTATTAGGACACATGCTTACTTTGTATTTGCTCAGGAGTCGTGAAGGCAGCATTTCAAAAGCACCGATGCGTTTATCGGTAGGTCTATATAATTTCACGCCGTTTGAACAGGAATTATATTAAAAAGAGTCTTAAGTTTTTTTAAATTTAAAGTTCAGAAGATCGATGTGTTATAGTATTTCTTAAAGGGTGTAAGAGACTTGACTCTTTTACTTTGAAGTAGCAATACGTACTTTATTTTAGTATGAGGTTAGGTCAGGCTAAGAGCATTTTACAAATTTAGCAAATTATTCATACTCGTATTTTAATTAGGTAGGTTTCTATTCGGTCACGTAAATGATAGAAGACTAACAAAGTGTGTTATCTATAGAGATTGTATATTACTAATGTTATTTATGAGTATGTTAGTTTCTTATTTCCTTTAAAAAATTAGCAATGATCGAGAAGGACTTTTAATACAATATGTAAAATTATTATTTTAAATGTATGTATACTAAAAGTACGATGTAGGCAGTAACAGAATTTACTTCTCAGCCATTAAATATAACAAAAGTATTACAGAGAGTCTGTTCCCATATTTACTGTAACTTAGGTATATATCTAGTTAATTAAAATTATATCAGCAAGTTAGTATGAATAGATTGTTGGAATGAGTGAAAGGGGTTCATTTGAATCAGGAAATTTTAGAGCTTAACAGAGTAGAGCCCAAGTCGTATACAGGTATGTTCTACGATGTTTTCTTACCAATACAAATTGAAATATCAAATATTTATCCACCTACATCATAGATTTAATACTGCAAGTACTTGTTAATACATACAGTCAATATAAAGTGTCAATCAATTTTCGCCCGTAGTGATTTCGTAACGTCACGTGCTAAGTTCCCACGGAAGCCTGGCTACGTTCCGCCCAGGGCTGTCATGTTCCAACACTTACGTGTTTAACATAGGTACACAGCCTTAGCTTAAATGTTATTATCTAGCCTAAACAATTTCCAACCTGATGGCATGGAAATGGGCACGCATAAATAACCTGTCATGGTCAAGAAGGAATACGTTCTAAATTGCGGGTTACACAGTAAACTGATGGATAAATTGCTTTATGACGTTTTTAGTCTCAAGCTGTACTATCTAAACCACCAAGAAGCAATACTTTTATATGTTATCTACTTATCTACTAATTTGTACTAAGGGCGGAAACCATTGCTGTAATTTAGTAAACAACCATTTGCAAATGATTGCAAACACAGAACGTAGACTTACAAAATAAAAATGTTGCATAAAAATATGGCTTTACCTTGTACTTTATACTGTTTGTTATTGCCTTGTTAAATTTTGTAGCATTCTTTTTGTACTAGATTAGGTGGTTAGTCACGAATAATTCCTGGCCTACAAAGCAACCGAAATCACAGAGTGAGTAATTTCATATTAAACCGGTCATTTTATTTTGATATTACCTAAATTTGGTAGGAAGGTAATGATACCTACTCAAGATGATTGTCCGCGGATCGCCGCTGCTAGTAATGAAGCCGTATTTAGGCTTTGGTCCTATAATCAAAATTGAATTACCAGGGTTGACATTCTTACTACACGAACGTCGCTTTTTCTTTTTCTGCTCCAATTCACGTACTTTAATTTGAATTTTTAATGATTCTAACTATCGATGGAATGTTATTTTTAGATTAAATCGTCCTACAGATCTATCAATTACGAGTAGTAATGATACGGTGGGTGACATTATTATTTCTTTAACATCAGCGTGTGGAATAGGTTCCGCAATAATATAATTTAAAGTAGGTAGCACACATTAATTTACTAAGGCTTAGCGAATACACGGAGTAATAAAGTTATTCAGCTATCTTTTTAATTTAATAATCATTATTTTTATAATATAGATTATAAAGATTCAAGAAGAAAAATAGTATTTTTATACTTAATTAATTAATTAATTAATTAGTTAATTATAATAAATATTTTGTTAAACTAATAAGAAAAATCTGTGATGTACAATAAGATATAATAGAAAATGGGTATTTAAAGTTGACAAAGATCCTCTATTTCAAACTACCAAGCATAAACAGCTGATATTATGTAAATTGTTTGTAGATTCCATTTTATATAATGTTATACTTGAGGTAAATTAAAAAGAGCTATGTTTAATTAATTTTCATAATTGTATTGTATAAATATTATATAATCACAGATGAGTTGATTCCTAATTATCTAATACTCATATTAGTTTATCGGAAATACATTTCACTAACTGCCTATTGGTATTATTTTTAATTTCACTATTATTAAAACGTTGCATATGCGTTCGATAACTGCTTGCACTATTAATCGAGTTACACTACTGCACTATATGTTACTATATACATATTCATATGTTATAGATTCAATAAATGACGTAAATATGAATATAATAGGGGTAATTGTATGTAATTTATTTATAAAAATTTTAAGTTTTAAGCTTATATGAACAAAGATCCTTACATTATTAACATTAGATCAATGGATTAAAATAGAACTATATGAATAAAAAGCTAAAAACACTGCGTAAGAAAGTTACTCTAGTACCTAAATATGAATATCCCTTGGCAATGTCACGTCGTTCCGGTTCTGTGTTTATATTGCTTCTAATAGTTTTGTTTGCATTAAAAACAATAAACATCGAAGTTGCACTGGGGCATACAACACGAGCCACACCTTTATTGGCGAGGTACCTTTTGTAATTTATATAAAAAGGCAACATAATTGCTTCTAAGGAAGTTACCGCGAACTGGCTTGTTCAAAATCTATCAATCACTAAATCAGGCATCGTTAACGCACGCGTTGCATTAAGTTCAATAAATCAGAGCTATCCAGGCCCAGGCCACTTCGCCGCCAAAGATTTTGATCTATTAGGTGCATGACGAAGCAGTACTTGAACGGTTAGCGCCAGCTAATATAAAGGGATACTTTTAATACAAATTTAATTAACTGAATCCGAACCATTCTGCGTCGTTTACAAAGATCTTGTCCTTCTTTGTAGACGCACCGTGTAATGACTTTTAAGTGTCCATAAATGAATCTTGTGTGGAAATTTATTAACCGACGTTTTGGGTACGTATTGTGCGCTTTATTAACTCTCGCTTCCTTAACTGTATTGGTGATGATTAATGACGAGTATTTTTGCAAGTGAATGTATTTAAAATGGGATAAAAAGTATTAAAGGATTATTATTTGATGACGGGTTCTTATTGTAGAAATATAATTTATTATCTACCAGATTAAAAATATATATCACTATGCGTGTGGATTGTAAGTAAACTATTAATTGTATAATATTCTAACTAAATAAAATAATAGAACCATATAATTAATTACACAAATATGGAGTCTCAGTAACATGAGTTATCTTTATTCATTACAGCGTTTATACCAATTAATTTTTATTTACACGTAATCGCAAATGGCTTTAGATTATACTCAGATACCAAGTATAACAGGTTGTAGTTGAGAGATGATATCTTTAGTAAACTCCATCAATTTATTCTAAGTAGGCAAAGAAAAGGTATAAAGTGTCTTAGATATGTTCTATGTGATAATCTGGGCATGTCGTTGTAATCAAAGAATTTCATGTGTAGACTTATTAACCTATCATGATCAGGAAGATAACAGATACATATATTGTCTGAGTTATAAAAAATATTAAATCTCTGAGACTACTGCAAATTGACTGTAACGGAATATGAAACAAAAGATGTAATGATAGAGTTGTTTAGCATTCAGTCCACTCTGCTTAGTTTGTTGAAAAAAAGTAAGTTGGTGTAAATGTCTGAAATGAAACTGAATTACTACATAATGTAAAAATTATCAGGTTTTAAATAATTAAATGACTTTTTAGTATTTATGTAAATGTGTATACTAGAACCTATGTGTTAATAGATTCAATTTACAACCTAACTTTTAAATGCAGCGTTTTAATTTGAAAACGCAGATGATCGATATATACATACATCTAAAAGTGTCTACATCTAGATATATACTACATAATTAATATTGTGTTATTAATAACCACACAATATAACAATTTTTGGTAAGCTATCTATCAATACTGCTAGTATTATTTTTGAACTATTAGAAATTGAACATCCTAATTTCCTAATTTACAGTGTTAGATTATTCTTAAAATATCTATTATAAATGTGGAAATTCGTATACATATTCGAACCTTTGTTATTGAACCATGCGGAACATGAATTTAATTTAGTACACTTATGGATTCTATTGAATTATATTTAATAATATATATCTCTAGTTCGTGTAGGGAATGTCATGATTTCTTCTAGTATTTATTGTATGTATTTATAAAGTACAAAGCTGCTCATTTAAAAAAAATACATAAAGAACTGGTAACAATAGCTATTATGTTTCTATTAAGCATATACTCGTAACAAGAATATCTCTTTTTATATTCGAAATAGTCTCAGTGAGACATTTATGTAAGTTTTGCGTGCAAAATGTGAAAATATCGTAACAACACTTTATAATTTTGTATGAATAGTACTTATTAACTGAGTGTTGTATGTGATCGTTTTCTAAGTCGGGAGCAAGAGCGCGCCGGGAGCACACGCGTGCGTTTCACGCAAATAATGCACATTTAACTACTATTTCAGTGGTACCTCACACGATCCGCCTCTGCCTAGGCAACGCCAAGTAATTGGTTGCGGTCATGCGATTACGTTCCTGGCCGATTTAATTATCGCAAAATGATCAGTATGCCGGCCTCCCGCAATTTACCTATCAATCAAGCATAGAGCGGCTCGGTTATTGGCGTTCCGAGACTGTCAAGACAGTATTATGGATTTTCAATCGTCCCAGCAAAACATAGTGTACAGTGAAAGGCACTGTAATAGGCGTCGAATTTCGAGCACGTACGTAAACGCCGACGGCCTGTAACGGTTGACATATACCGTAAAATCGCTTCTAATTATCTGTATTCTGTTAAAATACTCCAGTTACGTTTAGAATTTCATTATATTTATTTTATTATAACATTTATCAAAGATACACTCGTCGGTGTATAGAATACCTACTTATAGAAATAATAATTATAGGTAAACGAATGAGATTCCCCAAAATTACTACGAGAATAGCAGATAGTGGAATACGCAATAGTTAACCTACGATGATGACTTGTAAAAATGAAAAAAGAAATTGGAGCTACTTTAGATTAGGTACTTAATCTAATTTAAAGTAGCTTTAATTTTTATGTATGTTTGTATGTATGTATTGTAATGTTATAGGTTTTAGGTCATTTCTGATTCAACTTTTTGACGCTCAAACTATGAATGTACGGCGCAGATGCGCAATACTCTTGTTTCTTGTTTACTACTACTTATTGGTAGTTAAATAAAAAATAATAATATAATTAATATTATGTTAATAAACTCATGAATATTATCGTGGCCTAAATCTCACCTGAAATAATTACAAATTAGCGTTCGCGTCTTTTTTTATTTACCGTTCTAAAACACGCAACCTTTCAGTAGCTTACTTAGAACTGTAGGTAGTTATGATTCTGCAAAGTTATCTTGGCTTAATAAAAAACAAAGATTGTATTTAGGTGGAAATAATATTATAATGATAGTGCCCAATTATGGAACAGCAGTTTGCGGGCTACGTGTAAACTTGATGCATTACTTTTTGCGCGTCTGCACCATTTTCGGAGTTGAGCTTTAGTTTTATCAAGACATAAAGACCAGTATGAATTTATCGTGGATGGCGTTGATAAAAATGTGAATATAATGTGATGAATAATTCAGCGTGTTATCGGTATGGAGGACGGTTGTCCTCGCGAAGAGTAAAAACAATGCGAGCGCCGCCGCCGCACGATGGAATGCCGCGCCTGATGCGTTTTTATGTAATTGTTTTCGAGCATGCACCCCATCACTTATCTAACTGATTTAGGAATTGTGGAATTCATAATTTTTTATTTATATTTTAGAGGTTATGAACCAATCGATGATTGATACTAAATTTTAATCAGATTTAATAATTGAAGTTATTGTTTATGCATTTAGCTTATTCTGATTTTAAAAATATTATTATAATTAAGTGTTTATTACGCTAGTTGATTTTTTTAATCAATTCACAGAGTGAAAGAATTGTTATTTATACATTTAATAAACATAAAGATACATAGATACAGAGTTAATCATCTTGATTATTATTTGGCTGGTACTCTGAGCTCAATAATTATTTATAATTAAATTACTTATACTCTTATATATGTTTACAAATTGAAAATTCACGTCTCGCATCACAACTCTTTAGACAATGTTGATGATTCTTTAATTAATACTAATTTCAACCTTTTATTGTTATCGTAACTGCCATGCTTGATTATAGTTGTTTTTTTTTTATGTCAAGATGCACAACCAACTTCCTTTTAAATACGCATGTACAAATATAGATATAGTGAAATAATAAGTCATTCACCTCTATTACGACGCTATAGAGTCTATAATGCGATTGTAGTGAATTTTGTGGTAAGATTGATACGCGACAAGTGATTCACGTTTACTCACGTTTTGCGCTCAATGAAATTGGTTCGGCGCTATTGTTGGAATTTTATTTGTGCCTCTAATTCAATTTTATAATTTTGTTTTTATTTAATTCTCATCCTGCAGGTGATTGTTTGACGATTTTATTTTTCTGTATATTATATATAACGTATAAGGTTAGAGAGAGTTCTTGTCATATTTTGATATAGTATGTAGAGTATTTTTGAAGTTACTTAACTAAATCAAACCACAATTGCTGATATAAATCATTGCATTTCCACTACTGAAATTTAACCATGAAATAAATATGATATCCTATCTATGTATCCAGTAGTGAATAACTCTCGTGTAGTGTCATTACTCTTCATCTCAGATCAGATGTTGAATTGATGAATTAAGCCATTATATTGTCAAGATCATCAGTAATAAATTAAAAATACTTCATTTTGATTCATATTATTTTATTGTCTTTATAGGTACACTTCGACCACCAGGGCTTATTGGTGGCAGCAAACCTAAGGTTGCGACGCCGGCCGTTGTATCTAAGATAGAGCAGTACAAAAGAGAAAACCCTACAATATTCGCATGGGAGATCCGAGAGCGACTCATTTCTGAAGGTAAACAAACAATTATTGTCTCATAGATACGTAGCAAGAGTTGTCAGTATTGTATATAGCATGAATGCCGAGAGGGATCACGACTAAGCGTGGTCTTGTATCCTTCGTCTCGACTGGGTTGTGTATATTTAAGGTACGTATTTCAATTTAGAATTATAAAAATGCATTTAAATGTAGACATAATTATATATAGGTAGATCAATATAATCATATATATGTGTGTGCCATAGTAATACAAAATGGTCATAACTCAGTTTTGACCTTTATCTTCAACAGAACAAATAATTGATATTGAAAAAAAAAAATTAAAAATGTATGGATAAAATAAATTATGTGTATTTATTACATTCGCTATTATTCAATATTTTATTCTAAATAAATTAGTCACATATACCATAACAATTAATTGCATTTCATAAAGGAACAAAACAAGAATTTGAATAAAAAAACAGCTAAAATATGAATATTGAGATGAATGTGTGGTGTTACGAGAATGGATAAGGTATATGTTACAAGAAAGGATGAGTATATTCGAGTAAATCTACAAATAAAGCTAATAAATAAATAATAATAGATAGATATATACGTGTGAAATATGATGTGGTCAGAAAGGTAGTTAATAATGAGATAACTGTGAAAGGAAGAATATGAATGGAAAAGAAATGAAATTCCGACCCTATGAACTTGGGATATCGGCAGAAAGATGTTAAGTATTTGTTATTATATTATAGGATTCATTATTAGAATTTAAAGTAACTATTTACATTTCTTACAAAACTGGTGATTATTTTTATTTTTTATTTAGTTATTTATACTTTATTGTACACAAAGATTACATTGTTTTAATTTATATTTAAGTGAAGATGTACAACAAGCGACCTAAACTCTGTAAGAGTTCTCTTCCAGCAAACCTTGAGTAGAAAGGAGCATTAATTACAAAAATTATAATAATGATTATAACATCTTTTTAATAAAGGACTTTTTCTTAATCTTTTATTATTTTCTTTGGCTTTGTTATTCTAATTCTATAAATATTATATATATTTATTTAGAATTTAAAGCCTTATTACACTTAAACGGTCATTACTGGAGTAATTGTTATCTATGAAACCGTAAAATGATATATTTTAAATTTTTGCTAGAGAAAGTTGGTAGTTTATGCTACTATTTCTAAAAAGTTAATAAATTGAATGTTTCGCAGTCTGAACATTGTCAATTATATTCGCAAATTGTTTTATAATTTCAATTACTATTTGAAAAATGTTTTATTTTGCTCATCATGATGTTGCATGGAAATAAATTATGAAAGACACACATACGCTACTAAAACATCTGTATCTACAGATATCACGCAGTATGTTTGAGATCGTCACTTTATCTAGTGGGGGTCGCCCTAAACAGTATTTACCTGTAGTATTTACCGTTCGGGAAAAAAAATTATCCGTGTAAGTTTTTCGAGTTTAAAGAATTTACACCGATGGGAAAACATGTTTCTCAATGAGCAATGTAGTTATATTGCTGATACATTGCCATTTCAGTTTGCTTTTTTTTCGAATCATATCGGTCACAGGTTATTTTGCGAAATTACTCCTTTCGGATTCTATCACATAAGAAAATTTTGAGAATAGTTCGCTTAGGATCATGGTTTTACCTAGCTACCAGTATAAAACCATGTTCGGTTCCGTAAGTCATCACTGGTAACACGCTTTGACATTAGTGACCTTTGTCTTCAAAGTTAGTTTTACTACATAATAAAAATACTTACGTAATAGGTTCCTATAATGCGTAGTCATAATGCAGTTGCTGCTTAGGTACGATTTACAAACACATCATTATTAAGTGATCACTTCGCTTACTCAGTAATTGAATATCCAATTATAGGATTTGACTTATTGTGAACTGAACATTAGATATATTGTATCAATACGTTTTTGGGGGTCAGTAGATAAAGCCATTGAAGTGCAACCCAGAATATGGTCGAATAATCACTACTTAAACAACGGCCAGGCTCAATGGCAATAGATACGTTGAAATATGAGCCGGGGTATTCAAATTCAAATATTTATTTTGCAATTAGATTGTTTTACAAATCAACAATGTGGTTTGTTTTTTTTTGTGTGTTTTTGTAACGTTTGGTGTGAGAATAGTAAAGAGCGACTGTTGATATACTTACTTTTATATCCGTATTCATTTAGATATTTTATACTGTTTGTTTCTATACTCTTTATTGTAATCGCATGCCATAATGTTATAATAAATATCTACTGACATTATGAATCCTATTGCCGTGTGGTTTTGGAATAGAATGGGCTATTTTTTCTTTTTACGTGTTTGTAGTAAGAGGGGACTAATAGAACTTAACAGTCAAGGAATGGACAGCAACGTCCCTCTTAAAACATCACTAAAGCCTACTGCAGTAGCCAATCTGCTGGCCAAACGTGGCAATTACTGGCAAACCCCCCTAAGGGACAGGCTTATGTTCAGCTTATCATTTATTTGAAAAATAGAAATAGATTTTACCAATTAATAAATACATAAACGAATGAACGAATAGAGTCAAGTATTAGTGAATGATGTAAGGACAAAAATTACTGTATAGTTTTCTAAATGAAATGCAAAAAAATGTATGTTGGTATTACTTACTGCTTTTTACCTCTCAACTTTTACAATTGCAAAACGAGTAAATACATTAGTAGCAAGTGCTTAAGGTGCCACTATAACCAACTCTAGTATTCAGAGTACTGATTACCGTGACCACGACAACTACGAACTGTATCGAAATGTCCAGTAAAAAAGGTATCGTTTAAATGCTTTAATATCACAATAGCTTTAAAAATACGTATTTATAAACTCTTAGTAAATGCTTAGTTCATATTCATCTAGATAAAGTCAAAAAAAGTTCCAAATATGATCAATCAATATACACTTTTAAAACTTACTTTGGCACAAATTAATGGGATAAAAAATGTATGTAGAGAGATACTTCTAAATTTTTGTTCACATCCACGATATATTCGTGGAAAAGAAAAGCATTTTCTTACTCTTGTATATATTTTGTTCTCGTATGATTTGCTATTTTACCATATACGACGACGGAAAAATACTTGCATCAGTTTTTTAAGTGCTCGTATCATAATATAATAAATATCATAATCGGGATATACGAAAGTCTGAAAGTATAATAGTAAATCGATAAATAAAATTATAGTTTGTGTGACAAAAGTCACCAATTACAATGTATACTGCCATTTCTATTAAGTTTTTTATGCAACTTAGAATGTCAAACAAGCTGACGGCCCACCTGATGGAAAGTGGTAAATGTTGCCTATAGACATGAGCAGTGCCATTGACACAACAGAGTATATTGTTTTGCCCATGCGTTGTCATTCCTGAGGACTCAGGTGTTATTTCTCTGTATACTGTAAATTAATTGCCATATCCCACTTTTCTAACTGAAACACAGTGATGCAAACATATCTGCTTTACATTACAAAACACGAATATTGTACATTCAATAACTATTTTAACAGTTGTACCATTTTTTATTCCTACCATGTTGTAAGAACACAATAAAATTAGATCAAATCGTACAGTCAGTAATATCCAGAGGTAGAATTTTTAATAGAATCGTAGCCTCGTCTGCGCTACCAGTGTTCAATGGTGGCATACCAGTAAGGGATAATAGATAAAGAAAAAAATAAACAATTGGCACATCGTGACAAATTCGTTAAAAATGAACTAAGATGGTTTCTAAAGGGGACCGCGTGGAAGTTGACTTGATAGTGTATTTTGTTAGGTTTGTCTAACAATAGGGTTATTTTTTTCCGTCTGCGCTAACAGTATACACTGACGGGGCACCAGCGAGGGATGATAAGTGAGGATGAAGCAGGTCTGTTGGCCTATCGTGACTAACAATAAATCAATCACAATAGTTTCCAGGGGGAACCGCGTGGAAGTCAACCTAATGGGGTATATTGCTAGCAATGAGATTGTTAATTCCCATTACTACCAATCCCCTCTCCCCCCCAAACAATAGGGCTATTAGACCCCTATTACTAATAATCCCTTTCCCCTACTCGTAGGTATTAAGTTAATATCCTCTACTTATGAAGAGAGACCCGAGCTTAGTAGTTAATTAGTTACGGTAAATTGTATACAATAAGATATTTACAACTTTAGGAACTGTGTGGTGTGTGTGTCTAAATAAATGACCACCTATACAATCCGGTTGGATCCGGCATTAACTAGCCATTGATGAATATCTATCATTCCGCGAAAATCAATGTTCTTCCTCCTTTATTTTTCTTTTGTAATGGAATGCTAATTGTTTACAATTGGTTACAACTTAATACCTACTATATATATATATATATATATATATATATATATATTTTTTTTTTTTTGTAGAGCGCGGTTTCAAAGATGTTTCCTCCCACGAACATTCAGGTTATAGAGTGAGGCAGTCTGGGGTTCTTTAAAAGAGGGGTGAAAAGATTTTTTCAAGGTTGGCAACGTTTAATGTTCCTGGGATTGCAAACGTTCATAGGTTACGGTAACCGCTTATCATCAGGTGGGCTGTGTGCTTGTTTGCCACCTTAGTGGTATAAAAAACCCTATTCTTCTTAAGTTAGTAATGATTAATACAAAAATATCTTTGTTTTTTAGTTACATTGTTATTATATATTCAAAATCGCGACCACATGATTTCAATAAGTAGTGAACTATTTGCCCATTACGCTTTCAAAACATACCTATTGTTGTTCCATAAATGAATATAATTTCAATATTTTTTATTATAGAGAAAAGACGATCTATCATTATTAATTTTATTTCAATTAGATTGCGCGCAGGCAGTAGTTATTGAATGTACAACATTCAATGATTCAATCAAATTAATTCTTGTTTCTAATGCAATCAACAAAAGTTAATAGCCACATTCATTAAATGTACTTACACCATTCGATTACTTCGACCCGATAATCTATTACAGGCTACGCCTT